TGGTAATGGTCTGGATTGACGAAGATGTACGTTATGTAATAAAGTAATATTGAACCTGCTTTGCAACCAACCGTAATACAAAATAACTTTAGCTACTTACTTTGGGATCAGAGTAACGTAAGCGATAATAATAATAATAATAATAATAATAATAATAAAATTGTTTATTCAGTAACATAATGTACAGAGAAGACTAAAGACTACTTATGCGATTTAATGTAAAAATAACACATGTACCTGAACTAGGAAATTCCTGTATTTCAGGTAAAAACCTAATTATAATTATAAACGTGGATACTATTAATATTAAAGGTAAATACTTTTTAGGAGAATCTTATGAAATAAAATTAAACATTTAAACAATAAATTGCCAATCAAAAAAATGTACACTTAAACAAGACAACATTTATTTTACGATACTAAATAAATTCTCTGTATTGTAGTGATGTTGTCGACTATTTATATTCAATCTACACAGAATCAATTAACTCTGCAACGAAAACTCAATTTTCGCGATGGCTATTAATATCAATCGCGAGCTCGTAACAGCTATCAATGGCAATTTTTGATGCAAATAGGTGAGATTTCAATTCTGGACTCGTCTCGCGAGTGGAAAAGCACCTGAAGGCTACCTTAGTTCGAAAGCAGGGTCATCAATTTTATTGTAAAAATTCAAGAAATAATATTACATAAGTATAATCAATTTATTCCTGTGTGTTCAGTTCTATCCTATTTAACGATATGTATAGATCGTTATTATATTATTATGTTATTGGCATTAGGACTAGCTCAGGCATATATTACATAGACCGCCGGTTGTCACTCTGCTACACCGCGGCGGCAGCGGCACAACAACGCTATGGTGTTGTCTGAAGTCAATTTCATTAGGCACCAGTAGTGTCCCTTGCGACTTGTATGTGCCGTCTTTTGTTTGCAGTCAGTGTATGTCGAAACAGTAAGCTTCAATCTCGTGTTCAATACATAATATCTTTCTAAGAGAATAGCAAAATTGTTAGCTACCCTTATGATCATTTAATTTTTTTCAAAATGTAATCGCACGTTAACACTTAACGAGAATGAACGCGTTTAAACATTATTAGGTAACTTTCACACCTACCTGACCGAGGTCACGGACGGAATGTTAATGCGGTGTTACATCTCCATCTCGGTGGTGCAATTTTCATCCACACTCGCTATATTTTGGAAAATATCGTCACACAGAACACCAGTCAGTCCGTGACCATGATCAGTGACACCTAACCGAAATGTCGGGAAAATAGGTAGGTAAGTGTCAAAATGCCTATAGTGACAATCGCGTTTATTTCCGTTTTCAAATGTTAGTACAATGCAACGCGAAAGTTTAAAGTCTATAAAATCCCACGTTGATTGATAAATTAATGTCGAGGTATAATCTATCGTCGGATATGTTTACAATAATATTATTAAGTTAAAAATAATTACGTGTATACATAGTGATTGTACAAACTGGAGAAGTTTGAAATTACTAGTCGCATGAATTTACCAAAATTGCTTGTAATTTTTTTACGATGGAATAGAAAATTATACGACTGCTAAATACGTATCGAGTCACGTATAATGTCGGATTCTGCAAACAATACCATTTTACGGTTAGAAAACTACGGTGCAGACTTTGTTTGCGCAACGAACGGAATTGTATGAAGATAACGTGTTGTAAACTGCCCACAACATTGTTTACTTGCCTATTTTCATATAGCTTAAATATAAAATAACAATAAGTATTAGACAACATCACACACCTACGTTGCTCTGATTCCAAAGTAAGTAACTTTAGTTACACTTATGTTATGGAAATCGGAAACCAAACACCCTGACCCGAGAGAATATTGGAAAGTTAGTTTTCTACATTGACCCGGGCGGGGATCGAACCTGGGACCTTAGAGATGGACGCCATGAAAACCGGTGTACAAGCCCCTCGACCTTAGGCTGTAATCAACTCTACAACTCTTAAATGTTATTGTAGAAATCCTTGTGGCAGCTATTTCAATTATTATTTGATTTTTAATTCGGGACTTAATCTCGTATAAAATTTTATACGTGATTAAATCCCGATTTAAAAATCAAATATTGTGTGAAAATCGTGAAACTTTAAATCAAAATATTTCAATTATGTTTGCTTTACCTGTAGTATCAAGACGCATACTATACATGAACTGAATATATACGTGACCATAAAGAATTAATAACTTGTGATTGTGTGTTGCCATTGATAACTTCCGGCACCGAGACGGCCACTATGGGCATATAAGAAGGTTCAAGGTCACCCAATGGGAAATGGAAATGCTCGGAGTTTCACTGCGAGATCGGATCAGTAATGAGGATATCCGCATAGGAACAAGAGTAACCGACATAACTCTAAGAATTTGCAAAACTTAAGTGGCAGTGGGCGGGGCACATCTATCGCAGAACAGATTGGGGAAACGTATATTCAGCACTGGACATATTTCGGCTGAAATGATGATGGTTTTGTATATTGTGCTTAGTGAACATTTCGAAATTTGTGTGTTTCTATTAATCGTCATAATATCGAAAGACTGTCAAGGAATAATAAAAATAGACATGTGAAAACGTTCCGTCATTTATAAGGTTCAACAATTTGGCGGAGTCGGAAATTATTCTTGTGACAGTTGTGGCTTATTACAATCTCAGCCTGAACTTCCTATCGATTGTAACAAGTGACTTCATAGCTTGCTTTCTTAGGGATTTTTCTCTACTTTGCACATTTCAATCCAAATTCTATAATAAATATTACTTACGCCGGCCGCAGTGTTTTTTATAGTTGTATTTGTTAATTAATTATTATTACAGTACGTTTCTTACATAGCAACCTTCCTACAAAAATATATAAAGCATACATTTTCACACAAAAAAGAATAAAAGTGTTCGATATCATTTAAATACGATAGCTATTCAAATCAGCAATGATAAATAATTGAGATTGTCATGAGAAAGACTAGGTATATCCTTTTTATATATTGTTAGAGTTTATGTGTATACGTATCCATTATGCAGCACATTAGTGCTTTTCGTAGCAGTAATAGAAAGTATTTGACGGCCTCGAGCTACCTGCGTCAATAGCTTCCTGCAAATCTCACCAAGAGCGGACTTCGTAGTAGTTCGTAGTGAAGGAACGATTACATTACCACTCCCCCATTTGTGAACTGATTTCGATGATTATATTTAATTGAAAAGGGGGTACCTCAGTAATGATCCAAGACATATTTGAAGAAAATATTCCACCTTAAGACTGCGTTACCACCAGAGATCCCATCTCACCGTCGAGAAACCATCGCACCGTTTCACAGCTCCGCTACGCATCCTCGCACCGC